CTTTATCCATTCACTATAATTTCTTGACAAGGAGAATGATGCTTTCTTATATATTGAATATCACATTAAAAACCTTATTAGTATAATTAGTTATTTAAGAGTTATTAAAATTACATATTTATTTAAATTGTCTATTAGTGACAGATAAGCAATTTGAATTTTATTATTGCGATTAAGTATTGTTTTTCTAAAATCTTAGTTCGTAGTTCTAATTTTACTCTCTGTGGGATCGATATCTAGGACTCCATTAGAGCCCTATATTACTTGAGCGATACGTATACTTTCGTTGATAAGTGTGACTTTACAATTATTGAATATTTTATACATACATCTTTATCGAATCTATAATTGTCATTAAGTTTTTGGTGCAGTTGCTGAGGAATTAAATCTTTTAGCAGCAACATTAAATACTTATATTTTTAAGCATATATAAAGTCGCTGTCAATTAGTGTCGGAATATTCTGACGCTAAGGAAAATAGATAACATTGCTAATTCGACGCTTTAGTGTCGACGTATCTGGTGCTAATTAGGGTCTACCATGATCAATGTTAATTTTATTTAACATTATATGTATAATTTTAATAATAAAAAAATAGTTCGAGCTAATCTCCAGCCTACTAGAGCCATCCGTATGTGCCTTGAAATCGGCATGAAAAAAAAATTGTTCTAAGGTTTCAAGCATAGCTCGGCTTGTTTATTTCGACCAGATCTCAATGGGAGCCAAAATTTGAATCGATTTTCAAGCGATTAACGACAGCTAAATTCACAGCTCTAATTATGTTGATGGAGAATATATTAATTTATTATTGTTTTTTTTATCATTATTGTTGTTGTCGCCGTTGTTGTCCATGATTGCACAAAAGCCAGAAATTCGATTAGAATGGAATAATTCAATTGAATGCAAATGAAAAATAAATGCTCTTCCAATAACTCTTAACAAGACTTTCTAAAAGATGATATATCTCTTTAAAATTGGCAATTCACATTTATAGAAAGGGAATAATAAATAAGGAAAAAAGGATATATAATTATAGGCATTGTAAATAATTATTATTTTTATTTTAAGATGAGTGTGGTATATAATTGACTAAAATTTTCTTTTATATTTACCTTGAATGTAATTTAGTGATTATAAGATTTATTTTCATCAAATTCATGTTAAAATATATTGAATTTTGTTTTTGTGTTTATCGTTGATGCCTCATCAACAAATTTCTATCTCCTGGCAAGAACCTTGATGCATTGGACACAAATCTTGAGATTATTTTTGAGCAAAAAATATTTCTAAGTTACAGTCAAACTGATCGGATCAACGAGACGAATATAATGATATCAAAATGTTCATTTTAAGGCCAATCACCCCGAAATCAAGCAATTGAACTACATTTGAAAGTTTTTGGTAGTTAATGGGAGGATCAAATGAACTCCAACTTTGGCATACCTCTAGCCAATTCAAGTATCTGAACTAGAGAATTCTAATGAGCCTGAAATCACTTTATTCTGATGTCATTAAGGCCCTTGGATCATTAAAAACCTCATATGATCAAGAGGAATGAATGTGAACCGTTTGATCAGCTAGTTATGAGAGTTTTTCGCTAAAGAACAAAAATGTCTCTCCCTTGGAGCCTATAAATTCTCCCTTCTTCACTTATTGGCAAAACAAAGTAACTTGAACACGAAGTAATGGAGCACTTTGAAATTCCCCGAATAATGTGTAATGAAGTACCCTAAACACAATGTAGTGAAGCACCCGAGCATGATGTAAAGAAGTACCTAAAGTATTGTGCAACGATGTGTCTTGAATATGTGGTATTGAAGATCCGAAGATAACTTCTGATAACAATTTCTTATAACCAATGTATTCATATTATGACGACTTTCTCCGGACTTCTGAAATTTTTTCTTTACGTCGTATACTAAGAAGTGATATCTCTGGTGTAAAATAATAAACTTGTGAAAGTATGCTGCCACTAACTGGTGTAACACCAACTATGGTCATAGTGGCTAATTGATGTTATTATAGGTCCCCATTACGATCAATATAGATCATTACTACTGCAGGTTCCAACTAAGGTCTTTGTGGCCAACTGATGCTACTACAACTTTCCACTATAGTCTACGTGACAAACCACAGTCTACGTGATTAACTAATGTTATTATAGTCGTTCACTACAAGCTTTTTGGCCAACCAACACTCTTATAGTGACTCGCTATGACATATGTGGTCAGTTATTACTGTAGCTATTCACCATAACCTACATCCAATTATGCTCTTACAGCGATCTACTGCGACCTATGTGATAATTTACTATTATAACTACTCACTATAACCTACGTGGCTTGCTATTGTCATAAAACATTCTACTATAATCTTTGTGACAAATTAACACTCTTGCAACGACCAACTATAGCCTATGTGTCTAGTTACTACTGTAGCTTCCAACTATGATATTTTATGGTCAACTGATGCTTGTACAGCTATCAATTAGGTTTTATAAGACCAAATATTACCACAACTTCTGACTATAACCTCTATGATAAATTATTGTTATTATAACCAACATCTAAAATATTTCTGATAGATTGCTACATTTGTAACAATTAACGACAACCTTTACCACTCATTATCGATATTATTGCCAAGAATTATATTTGTTATAGCTCAATTACGACTGTTAAAGCTGAACTGATGTTGTACATTTGTGATTATCAACACTATACTTTCATCTTTAATTCAAGAAAAGAATTGACTTATATATTTACAAATCATATAGTATATTACTTTGACTAGATTGTTGCTCCAACCCCTAACCAGAAGTCATTTGATCTGACGAAACTTTTTTTTATTTTGCCAATTAATTCCAGACAATTTTCATCTATAATCATGATTGATTGAATAAATTATCAAGGTTTAAAATGCCAATAACACGACTCATTTGACAACCAAGAAAATAACACGACTCATATGGCAATATTTTAAAATTCTTCAGTTTGAAAATATTTTAAGATAAAAATTAGAGGATATTAAGTCAGTTAGAAATAGTATTTAGCGAATATAATTTTTAAATCTAAATATCACATAGATTAATAATACAAAACAATTCAGTCTAAAATACATTATTTCAAAACACTAATCACTTATGTGAATATAATTTATAAATTTAACCTACAAATCATAAGAAATTCATCTATAAATTGTTAGGGGGTTTTTTAGCTCAGGTAGGATTTAGCATTGATTAATTTAATAAATCCGTAAATAATAAATATGTTAAATCCACCATACCACCAGATTCGATAAATCCATATTAACATTTGGCTGAATTCAATAAATCCAGTGATATATCATATTAAAAGCCCGGACCAAACACCCTCTTAGTATTAAATGTTTATATTTAATTACCAAAAATGTTAATTTAGTAGCAAAAAAAATTACCATTAATATATTGCCTTGAAGATTTTTTTTTTAATGTGTACAAAATATAAATTTATTTTTGGTGTACATTTTACTTTTTATCATTTACCCAAATCATTTTAGTGCAAGAGTTTAACAACATGCAACTTATATAGAAAATTTAAATACAAACACATTTTTTTTTTTTTTTTCAAAAGATCGGTGAGAAGAACTGTGAATCAACCTCATGTGTCTAATCATTTGATCCTGCACATAGACAGACATGAACCCGAGACCCAAGAGTACGGACTCTATGCTGCCAACTAAAGAGTCAACAAACACAAACATATGAGCAAGGTGCAAAGTTCATGGCCCATAAAAACATAAAATCCATAATTTCAGAGTTTGGAGCACTCCAAAATAACTTCAATAATTCAGCTTATTAAAGACTAACGGCGATCACTAATTCGAAATTAAGACAAAAAAACAGTTCAAACTGAACTTCGCCGCAAGTAAGTGCAGCAGCTGATAAGACAACCAGATAATTACGTAAAAATAAGAAACTTTAAAGTAGGAACTGTAAGAAGATTCATCTCTGCTGCTTCTTCTAACCAGAAATGACAGATTGATTACACAGACATGATAAAGCACTGCATTAATCACAGAGATTTAACATGAAATTATTCCTGTACACATAAAAACTGAAGCAAAGATGTGATTTTTCTGGAACTAAAGGTCAGAAAAGAAGCGAAGCTCTACTGATTGAAGCTGAAAGACTGCAACCTCGAATTTCTGAAAAGATTTATCAGAATCCATTCATCTCCAAGAGGTAAGTCCTGCGCTTCAGAAGCATTTTCACTGCAGCTCGGAAAGGACCGTCGAATGAGCTATTCAGAAAGGCCTCAGCTTCCTTCCTGCCACCACCATTACTCACTCCGCCGCCGCTGCTGGCGACGGCGGCGCCGGCGCTGCTGCCCTCTGCTGAAGGCCTTATCGCCACCAAGGTCGCTCCTTGCATACCTATTCCTCCAGGAAGCTCGAGGTAAGGAGCGTACCTTAGCTTCATATTTGATGCGGGGACCTGTGTTCGATTGGCTGAAGCAGAAGCTGCTAATGGCTTCTCCCTGAACTCCCTCAACTGTTCCGCCCCCATGCTCAATGTGCCCTGCTCATCAGAATCGGTCAGAACCAAGCTTGTGAGCGTGGGGTGGTTCTTAATAATCGGTCGAAGAAGATAATGTCTGGTTGAAGCAGCGATCAGCGAGCTAATCGTCCAAACGACTCGCAGCTTTAACCCACCATTCGTGTAGAACGACTCAGGTATGCTCCCACTGTCTTCCGCCGCAGGAAATGGATCCTGATCAAAGAGGTTGCTCTTTCGATCGATCGGAGTTCCTCCGAGAATCACACAGTTCTGAAGCGTGCTTCCAAACTCAGCCCTCCATCTGAGGAGCACCCCGTCCTCCGTGCCGACATCGCCTGCAGGAAGCTCGATATGAAGATTTCGAATTTGGGTGAAGTTTTTGAGGACTTGAGCGGGGGAATGGTGGGAAAGCTGAGGGAGAAGAGGTTTGTTGCCGCTGCTAGGGTTTCGGAGATGGTGGAATGGTTTCAGAATGGTGAAGAGGACGAGCTTAAGGAGGTGGGAGAAGAGGTTGCGGGGCTTAGGGGAAGAGAGGTTTAGGGATTCATCTGAGGGATCGCCGTCCACAGTGACAACGCGGTCGATCTTGACATAGATGTCATGAACAAGAGGAACCAGGAAATTGAATCGCTTTGATACCGCAGAGCAGCGACCGAGCGCGCGAACATCAGCAACCTTGTTGAGGATTAAGAGGACGATGGAGTCTGGGATCCGATCAAATTGATCGCTGTGGAGAGGTGGATCGGCATAGATTCGAGCTTTCGATTGCATTTTTTTTCAACTGTAAAGCTTTGATTTTTAAGGGAGCAGTGCACCTTTTCTCTGATTTTTATGCAGAATATGAGGACTCGGCGATCTCTTCTCCTGAAAAAAATGAAGACGAACAATCAAAAAAGAGAGAACTTTGAATCTGAAACATAGAAAACAGATCAAAACGCAGCCGATGAGTTTCATTCCAAAAACAGGAACAAACCCTAATCAGAAACGAAGAAGCGGGTAGTTCCTCTTGCAAGAAGCCATCTTTAGCAGGGAAACCAAATCCGGTTACCTTAGATCCGCTGAGGAAGAACGGAAAACATAGCGATCTCAGCCGAACAAAGATTCAGTCCGGTTGCAAGGCCTTCCGTGTAAAAGAAGGGAGAAGACATTAGGGCAGCTAAGAAGAGATTACATCTAGGGTTTTAACGCGACACTGAGCTGCCCGCGCTCTGTAACAGCGAAGAATCAGACCTGAGGGCTCATTCTTTTATATTATCTAGGAGATTTTTTGATGTGCGACTCCGGGGGCGGTGTTCACCTCATTACCGGAAAAAAATGGGGCGCGAGAGACGCCGTTAGTTGTCGGCGTCTACTTTCCGGGACACGTTAGGAATTTTGAGTTGATGCCGTTACATTTGCTTACATTTGCTTACATTTGCTTAATTACAAACAAAGCACACAAATATTGATATTTTTAAATTAAGCATGCGTGTGATAGTACTTACCGAATCAATATAATTACACGTGCCACAATCAACTATTCAGAATTTGATAAAATTGAAAAATAAGGATTAGAATTTTAGGATAAATTTTGATATTTAAGTGAGAGTTTGAGAAATGATATAATATTTTAATTACCTAAATTTTAAATATAATATGATATTTTAATTTTTTTTTTTCATTATAACCGCTCTACTTGATGCGCGCTAGAAAATTCGCTGCAGTAGAGTAACAGATTATCATCTTGAAGTAGAACGAAGATTTAACACACGCTCAGAAAAGAGAAAAGCACTCTACTTGATGCGCGCTAGAAAATTCGCGGCAGTAGAGTAACAGATTATCATCTTGAAGTGGAACGAAGATTTAACACACGCTCAGAAAAGAGAAAATAAATGATAATGACAACAGAAGTTGTTACGTGGAAAACCGAGAAAAGGAAAAACCATGATGTTTAACCCAACTCAAGAGTTCCAATATAAAAACATGATTACAGTTGCAATCATTTGTCTCGCATGTGGAAAAAAGGTTGCTAGGTTTCGCAACTTACAATATCAACGTGCTGATGAATTTATTGAAGGAACGAACGACAACCGATAGCGATTGGCGACGTCCGGTCAGTGGTTGTTGACGGTGGTTGGACGGGATCGACAGTGGTCAGTGGTGGCAGGCGAAAGTCAGTCGTGGTCGATGACGGTCGGCAGTGGGCGACGCTCGACTGCCGGCGGTTGACAATTTAACATATGTATATTAATTGTTATAACAGTTGCAACAATAAAATTATATTATATTGTGAGTGTGTGTGTTTATATATATGATAAAAAACACTCTGAATTTTAGTATTTTAGGACGGTGAAGTTGATCTCTTCCGAAAATAGGGGGCAACTGATAGGCCATTAAAAAAATTTCATCATACGTCGTGGATCTCAAGACAATCTTTTGACTAAAGAATGTTTAAATTTTGATTAAGAGTCATCGAGAGCTTCGATTTAAGCAAACTTATAGTTATACTGACCAACTTGACAAGACGAACCTATTGATACCAAAACTGGTCAAATCCAAACGAATTAAGCCACGATCAACCTATTATGCAGCTTTTGGAAACTTTTCAGTCATTTTTGAAAAATTGAATGCTGTCAAATCTGGCGAGCTCATAGTCTAACCGAGTGTCTCATCGATTTGAATCCAACGAGCATAAGATTGATCAATTCTAATATCTTTAAGGAGCTCAAATATTCAGCAAAAGTTGATGATCAAATGAAACTCTTTGAAATGTCCGATCAAAGTAATTTATATCCCTGCATTAATTGCACATAAAACTTTATAAGTATTGTCTCACCCATCTCATGAGGGAGAGAAGAGAGTTTGAGATATGAGAAAGTGTTAGAATATTTGAGAAGGAGCTGAAGTCCAGCGCCACCACCGTCGACGGCCGTCACGCCAATCTCCGTGAACCACCACCGACCATCGTCGATTATTGCCAATCTTTGTCGACTACTGCTGACCGTCATCGATCACCGTCGACCACTACTGTCAGAAGTCGTCGATTGCCATCGATTACCGCCAATAACAAACTCATCTGTATGTCGTCATTGTAACTTGAGAGATCTAGTTACTCTTTCTCATTTGCAGGACAAATTATTATAAATGTAATAAACTTTTTTATATTGAAACTCTTCAGCTGGATCAAGTCATGATTTTTTATTTTTTGGATTTTCCACATTAAAACTTCTCATGTCATTATTAGTTATTTTCTCTTTTCTGAGTGTATGGTAAATCTTCGTATCACACCAAGACGATACACGTAATGTTTTTTAGTGATTGATATATATAAACATCTAAAAAAATGGATGGAGATGCAAGTGGCCAGAGTAGTGGTAAAAAAGCATAAAAAAAACCTAATTAACACTTAAAACAAGACCAAATATTATGTGCTATGTGTGGATCATAGGTTGGGGTGGTATTACACATCAATACCCCCCCAATGTCACCAATACCACGCTAATACCACGGATTTTCATCTAATATGTACCTATTATGTCCTCATGTAATATTTTTACCTCAAACAAATGATAAATATAAGGAGATTTACATACATATTACTCCATTTCTATGTATTTATATTTCAAATATAGGATTTCAATATATATATATATATATACACATACACATAGGACTGTCAAAACGGTTCGTTGTTCACGAACAACTCGTGTTCGGCTCGTTAATTTCGTTCGATAAGTTAACGAGCCGAACAA